GGGACACGCTTCGCCCTCCCCTTCGCCGGCGTTGGCCTGCTCGAGCCCTCCATGGCGCGGCTCCGGCTGCTCGAGGAGCTCCTCAAAGGGGCCCTCCCGGCCTCCTGTCCGGCCTTACGCAGCCGCGAGGGCTGGGTCCATAGCCTCCTGCAGCCGGCCCTTTTCCCCTGGCTCGCGGGGCACCGCCGAGCCGCCGCGGAGGAGGCCCAGCGCAGCTCCGACAACCTAGCCCGGCTGAGTGCGGACGTCGTCGCGCAGCTCGCGAGGCGGCACCCCGTGTTACGGAAGCACATCTTCGCGGAGAAGGTCCCCGTCCACAAGGTCGTCCAGGGGAAGGCTGAGTCGGACGCCCCTCATCTCATCCAGGCCCAGACCGCCCACGCCTCCCCTCTAATGGTCGACCCGGTCGGATGGACCCGGGCGCTCGCGGGAGTGTGCTCCAGCAAATATCGCGTGAGGTTTGCTCTCTCGGAGCGCTGGGAAAGCGCGAACACGTATCTGAAGTACGACGTCGAGGTCATGCGAAGCATCCTAACCTCCGTGGCGAACCCCCAGGACGCGACCCAGGCCCGACAGTATCGCGAGCACATGTTTGACATCGTGGTCTTGGCCATGGGCTCCCAGACAGGTGTGAAGACCAGTCAATCCTTCAAGTTCCCAATCATACCCCTCTCCGGCTATGCGGTCGCGCTTTCAGGTCTCACAGAGCCGCTCTTGGGCGCAATCAAAGGGTTGTTTCACGGGGATAAAGCCGCGTCTTTAACGCAACTTTCTGGCCCATGTAGCCTCTACGCCTACCGCTTCCCTCATTCAGATGGGGGTAGCCATAATAATGACACCTCCGCGAAGGCGTCACCGAAAAGCATGGAGCTTAGCAAAGACTCTTACAAGTCGAAACGTGGGGATAGGGACTCTGCGTCTGGTGTGGGGGAACAATACTACCTCACCGGACTTCTTTCCTTCAATACCATCTTACAGGATCATTGTCCTACCGTCGTTTTCAAGGCCTTATCGAATCTGGAAGCCTATTTACGCGTCAAATGCAATGTAGAAGTTCCATTGATTGATGCCCAAGCCGATATTGCGGAAAAAGTCACCAAACACGCTGAAGCCGATGATAATTCTCGAGAGCAGTGCATTGAGGTTGAGGAATATACTCGCGGTTTTACACCAGACGGGGTGCCGCTGGTGGATCAGTGCGGTGGCACATTTAACATGTTTGTCTGCTCAGGTTTTGGTGATCATGCAATGGACTTTGCCCCTGGAGCAGCAAAGATTCTCAGTAATCTGATCCAAACCCAGGCAGAGAATCTATTCGAAAAAGATGAAGCCCAGCTCAAACTCCGTGGGACAGTCGACGGTGTCTTTCCACGCTCACGGCGTGCACAACTCGAAAAAGAGATGCACTTCCTCCTCAACGGTATCCTGTTAGACAAGACTGACAAGAGATGGTGGTCTTTGCTAAATCCCTTGAATTGGCACTTCGGGAAGCAGCCACTAGCTTCGGAAGGGGTGTGTGAGAAGCAACTTGTCCATTTTAATGTCAACCCCTTTTCCACCGACCGCTACGCGAGGCTCATCAGGAAAGACTTTCAGGAGAATTCTCACTATTCCCCAATAGCATATATCAGTGTGATTGAGGAAGCGCTAGTTCGGAAAACGGAGCCCACAATTGAATATCTCACAAGGTGGGCCATTGATTTGGCGCGGAAAGAAACCACTCCTGATTTTATTCGAACAATAGTATTTAACCTTGTGTACGACTATGAGTTGGATATAGTCGGACAGAACTTCATACCAAAACTAGAGGAAACACGCTTGCAGTTGATGCGAAAAAATGAGTTGGAAACGGCGCGAAATATGGAAATTATCGATCAGAGTAGGGTGAGAAGCATGGAGATCGACCGGCGTGCACTGGGGCCGCTCATGCGGACTACAGACTCCATGCCTGGAAACCATTGAGATTGTATCTCAAGTGATATTTGTCTTCTGAAACGACAAAGGAATATTTATATTACTATATATATATATTTATTTATATTATTCCTTAGGTAATGAAGCTTAGGGGTCGTCACCATCATGAGTTAGCTACCCCTTGGTGGTTTCCGCCTTCAGTTCCACCGGTTTATTGTTTTTCTTGAAAATGTTTTTCAATGTTTCACAGTAAACATTAATATCCACATTGTTTAAGAACTATACTGATGAAAAACAAAAAAAAAGGCTAGAAAAACATAGTGGAGGTGAGTTCAATCATTAACCTAAGCTTCACTAGATCTCTACAGGATTTTCTTGTTATAACCATTACCTTTATTTTTTTATTTTATTTTTTAGTTAAAGCGAAAAAAAATAAAAATTTCACAAAAATACATATATATCTATATCTATCTATCTATCTATATATATATATTTATTTAGCATCATCCAGGTGCACAATATGGGTCGACTATCTCTACCTTCACTAAGATTTTTCATCTTACTAATTATTACAATTCTATCGATAAATATCTTGCAAACGGAATGCCGAAAGAACGTACTCTCCCATGCTACCTTTCCACTAGAGGTGCAGAATGCCATCGGTTGTGATATTTGCACCTACGCTATGACGGACCTTTCGATTCAGATTCAGGCAGAGCGCGAATATAAGAAATCCAACTCTCTCAAGTTGAATGAGGATGATGTTCTCGAGATCATAGGTGAGCTTTGTGTCCCCTTCACAGTGAGGGGCGAGTGGATACGTCGCGTAGCCTTGCAAATACCTTCCTCAACTTCTATCACAAACAATTCAGAGAATAATCCCGAGAGCGATGGGTTCACTAAAATATTAGATATCTACACATCCTGCAAGCGTACCTGCCGTTCAGTCCAAGAAGTGTGTGAAACGATGTTGGAAAGTGAAGAAATGGATCGTCTCAGTGCAATTATTCTTGAAAACAGCAATATATATGCCAATATTTCAGACGTGAAAGTCATTAATGGGTTGATTCGTCAAGTTTGCATACCTACGCATCAATGTTTGAATCATTTGGAGTACAAAAAAGAACTCACGCACAGCTTGAACACGATGACGATTCATGGCACCTTACTTGAACAAATTCTGTCAGATACAACGGAGGAAGTCGGAAAACAACTAATGGAACTTGAGAGCATGATGTATTCAGCAGGTGACGATGATAGAAAGAAACCTGTAATAATTACTAAAGACGATATGGAAAAACTAAAAAAGGCTTACAAGTCTGGTGACATGGAAATGGCGAAAGAAGTGGATCCAATGGCAGACGATTTGAGCGAGGAAGAATTAGAGAAACTACGCCACATTTCAGATGAGGAAGATGGTGATATGTAATATTTAAACAGAAGGGTCTAAAATAGGTCATTATTACTATATATTTTGGTATCTTTTGTGCAAAGGAATTAAGTGTGTTTTTTAATTTAAGTGACGCTATCAACAATTTTTTTTTATTTAGGGAGAAGTGAGGTCATATAATATTCTAAACTTACGGCTTTTCACTTGCTTATCCCTATATGATGCGTCTCTTTTCTATGTGTTACTTTTTTAAAAAAAATTCTTAATTCTTTCTCCCGGATCAATTTTCTATTATTTTTCCAAATACATTCTGTAGGTTAAATAGCTCTGTGTTGAGTAGGTCAATTATTTTAAGAGACGCTAAGCAACAGTAGCATAATTAAGCCCTAAAATATTCCCATTCATTCCCTTTATTATTATTATTTAAAATCATGTGGAATGAGGCGGAAGCGCGTCGAGCCTACAATGCCTATGGTGTTGACTTGATTAGAACTGCGGGGTTACTTCTGCGTACAACGCCCTCCGCTATTTTCAGGGCCTCCATACTTTTCCAACGTCTCCAGAAGTGCATTAACACAAACTTTCGCTCCCACTACCTATCCTCCGAGGAAACCAAGCGGTTAATCGAGCAAACCCGCGGATTGCCCCATGCGGTAGGCGAAAGCGCACGGAATAGCCCGGCCGAGCATCTTCC